GGAGGAGGGGAGGAGGGGGAGGAGGGGAGGAGGAGGAAGAAGAAGAGGAAGAGGAGCAGGCTATCTTCTTGGACTCCATATGATACATTGAATGGATGGGGAAAACACAGAGGACAGAGCAAAAATAGGTATCACATAACTTCTGCATATTACTAGAAAATAAAATATTCTAGCTATCACTAATTGTAACTTCGCTCTCCAAACTTCTCATTTGCACTCAAGCGCACCGTTTGCTCAGTGGCAGCTCTGTATGATACTCACCCAGAATGCTGTCATTTTGAATTAGAGAATCATTCTTCTTGCTCCTGCTAATTTTAAATATAAGTTTGCAGACATTGAGAAGATTCTTTCTACTTACTTTAAGCTGCAGAGAAAGAAAACACATTTCTATTGCAGAGGGAAATAAAGACATATACGTTTTTAAACACGAATTTTAAAAGTGCAGCAAGAGTATTTTTAAAACATAAAGAAAAGTTCTTAAGAAATCAACTTTCAAAAGTTTTGGCCACATATTTGCTAACTGTGGTATCTAACTGACTAATTTATAGTAAATACAATATAAATGATATTTAGAGTAAACATATTTTAACAATAAGCATTTATTGCTTACTTTATAAAGTCTCAGGCTTATACGTGAGATTACTAGTTACTTTTAAAAGAGTATATGGAGGGAAAAGGAGGGTGATGCTGATAAATTTAATTAAATGGAGTAATTGCTTTAAAACACAAAAGTAAAGGAAGATGGATACCAAAATTTCAGATTAAACTACCTCAGAAAACAATACACAGTGGAGGCGGAAGAAAATAAAAAAGTCATATTCCCTGATTAGATGATGTCTATACTTATCTTTAAGGCTATTTCTGGAATTAGAATAGTCATAAGTAATGTTCAAAGTTTAAAATGACCTTCTAAATCACACAAAAATGTTCAAGTAAGTTAAACATAGGGGCAATAAGGAAGTATACATTTTTAAAAAACAGAGCATAGGAGGACTAACTGAATCAAATGGTCTAAATTAGCTGTATATTTATCTAAAGTAGTAAAAGGGAAAATCCTAAATGCTCAATATTAGTTTAATTAAGCAGTCACAATTATGACCGTAAACACTGTGTTTGAAAAGACATTTATAAGCTATTAGAAGATGGAAATATTACATGTCCTCATTGCAAGAATGTAAAATATGTTTGTAGGAATGAGGTCATATGAATAAATACACATATCTGTGTGAAAAGGATGGCACATGAGTCATTATTTTATTAAAAACTATCTTTAAAATTATCTTCAATATTGGTTATTGAGTGTTCAGTTTGTTTAAAAAAAGATAAAGGAATTTGTCAGACATATTGTTTAAAGGTTTGTTCTGTGTTTGATTCACAAATATTATTGAGCTCCTCGTGTGTACCAGGCACTGTGCTGTTTGCTGCAGGAGATGCTGTGATGAATTCGGCCCCCCTGCTCTGGGCCCTTTAACTGTCATCTCAGAGCAACCCTGAATATTAGGTGTTGTCATGCTCATTTTGCAACTGAAGAGTGTGCTTCTCAGAGAGGTCCTGTCAACTCACGGTGGCATCATCTGGGCTTGCACCAGAAATGCAGAATCCCAGGCCCCACCCAGCCTGACTGGATCAGAATCTACATTGCAATAAGCTCCTCAGGGCATCATGTGCACATTCCGTCTGAGAAGCCCTGTGGAGGAAATCTCAGATACTGTCTCAGAAGGCAGGACAGGGGGAGATCCTCAGGAGGAAAAATGCAAACGGGAACTTAGAAACATTTTTAAGGATTAGGTGCTTAAAAAAATATTGTACAGACATCTAGAAAATAAACTAAAGAAAACAGAAAAGAATTCTATATCAATGGAAAATACAGTGTCCTTAATATTTGGGACTATATTTTAATCAGTTGACAATCTTCCACTATATTGGGAGACTTTGAGGTCAAAATCATGATTTATTCCTCTTTCTATGTGGTGGTAGAAAGCATGTGTTATGTACTCAATAAAGCTTGTTGAATTAATGAATGAATACAGTGAACCTCACCCCTTCTCCACCCAAATCTTATACTTTTAATGAAAAGTGGCAAAGGAAAAAACAAAACAAAACACTGGTGCCAGAGTGTTTATTAATAATAATAATAATAATAAAAAATATATATATATATCTCCTACAATTTCCAGGTCTGCTAATAAGGTAACTTTACATTCAAAGTAAATTCCTATGCCTTCTCTTTTGGTAACTGTAAAATTGTGGCTTTGAGACATGAAAAGATAATAAAATATTAAATTATATGCAAGTAATATAGACTACCTTATATAAAACAGCCCTAGCCACCCTGACACTGTGCTTCCCTTGCGTTATTTTCTTCCCACAGTACTCATCAGCCCCTTTGGCACTTGATGTGTTTACCGTCTGTCTCTCCTGCTACGGTGCCAGACTGGAGGGCAGAGGCAATGTATTCTCAATGTCAAGAGTCCCTGGCACAAAGTTGTTTGCTTTAGCAGAGTATTTTTCTTACATTAAAAATAGTAGACTTTTCTATTTAAAGCAAATTTGGAAAAGTAAAGAGAAGTTTTTAAATCACTCATAAAACTACCACTGTATATAATCACTGTTGACATACTGGTATTTCTTTTCTTCTTTTTCCCCCTGTATAAGGTGCTGGATTTTTTCCCCCTCTCCTGAATATAGTTACATTCACACTGTATATATGTTTGTACTCTAAAAAAAAATCTTAACATAGACTGATATATTTTTGTAAGATTTTTGAATACAAAAGCTAAAATTAAAATGGCTGTTCAGTAAATCCCCACTTAACCAAAGAATGCAAGAAATCAGAAAAACATTTTTTGCACTGAATTGTTTTAAACTGTAAATCATTTTAAATGTCTGGATTATAACATTACACTGGTAGATAAAATAAATATTGGCACAAAGAAGAGAAATTATCAGAAACTTCTTAGTCCTATATAACTTTTGCTTTTGCTGATTTTTTTTCCCAATAGCTTTTCACGGGGTCTTTTTAAAATTTACATAGAATCCTATCACCAAGCCTTCTAAGCAAAACATCTTGCCTGAAATATTACAGGAGATTCAGGCAGCTGACAAGAAGTTGGACTTGATGGCCCTGCAGGCCCTTCCTGACTGCCTGGTTGTATAACTAATCAGAAGGGGCAACCTACCCATCTCTGCACTCTGGGGTATAGCCCAGCGAGATGCGCCCCTGATTCAGCAAGGCTGTCCGTGTCACAAAGAGGCTTTATCTAAACATAAGGATCATTCAGAATGTGTTCACGGCCTTTTAGATCACTTAGCCTTTTGCCCTAAAATAGTTAAATTGTGCCATGTGTATAATTTATTTGAATGGCACCTTTAATAACCAAGATAATACTTTCTCTACAAAGCATTAGAATTCATAGCATTTTCCTTCTTTCTTTCTCTTTCTCTCTTTCACTTGTTTATTCTTTTGGCTTGGCATGGAGCAAAATGCCTAGGATGTAGGTGGAAAACCAAAGGCAGTCCCTGGGCAGACAGCAGCGACTCCAGACACACCGGGGCTCCCCGGGCAAGAAGGCTCCCCAAATCCAGGGCCAGAAAGGGCACTAGGCAAGCGTGCAGATAGCCTTTCAATCTCTACTTTAAATCCTTCCTGTGGTTTACGCTTTTTTGGATTCACTAAAGCTGATTGATCAATTATCATCGAGAGGGGATTTAAACACTACTGAAATCACTGTTTCAAAGAAGTGCTGCTCTCTGAGTCATATATCATATCACACTTTTTAAAAAGAGGGTGAAAAGTTAGGATGACAGCTAAATAAGAATGTAGCTGCTCCAAAAAAAACTGCACAGGGTATGTAGTCAGAACATCCTGCTTTATGAAATACATCAACATACAAAACAGTGGACATGCTTACTAAACGGTTAGTAAATAAGCCAATGCTTACCTTCACTGTGTACTTTAAGATTTTATATTGTATGAATTACGGGGTGTTAACACAATAGCTTTTACTTTTATGAAAACTGGGTAAACAAAGCTTCCTTCATTAGGTCTAGCGTCTCTCTTAGAATGTTCTATCATAATTATGTCTTATCTTTTGGTTCCAACTGTTTATGGCTGTGACAACAAAGTGCTCCCCTCAAACAATGATATCATTTTGTTCAAGCCAGAGTTTCTTCTCTTTTATTTGGTGTCTGGCCTTTGCTTTTAACACCTCGAGGGAGCCTTCTATTGACCAATGCCCATGACCACACCCAGCTGTGTCTCAGTTTCACAGTGGTTCATAGCGCACCTGGCCATTGTGTCCATGGCCCAAGTTATCTTAAGTTATTTATTAAATCATGTGGCAAAATCAAGCACCCAACAGAAACCATAGGGCAGAAACCACAGCCTGCATTCTCCGATACTGATCTTCAGTCAAGTCACTTGAACAACTGCTTTAAGTGTATTTGCCTATTGTCACATTTTTTTTTTCACCTAGCCACAGACAATATTTGAACATTTTCTATGTCTTCAGCCTTAGTTCCTTAGTATTTTTTAGTCATATTCTGGGATGTCAGTTTATTACCTTAATTTTTTTTCAAGATTCTCAATGAACACACTGCATTTCTAATCTTCTTGGTAACACTTACAAATGAAGCATTAAACAAAATTTTTATGTGCTACAGTCTACTAGACCAGAGGAAAGAAAAACTTACTGCTAGAATAATTTTTGCAAGTTTAAGGCTGAGCGGGTCTGAACCAACATCAACTAGTTTATAAAGGGTCTTCAGGAGAATATTTCTTCTCTTAAATTTATTTCCAAGCATGTTTCCTTCCTCTAAAGCATGATGAAGTTGTGTGCAAGCAGCACAAACCATTTCAACGTTTTCTTCTGTCAGGGCAAAGAGAGTAAAAGCAGCACTTATAATTAATGTCAAGTTCACAAGTGTGTCAAACACAGACAGTATAAGTAAAATCCCCGCAATTATTTTCCCAGACATCTTCAAATTCCTGAACTATTCTTTTTCCCTTTTCTTATCATTTCCATGTACCTGATTTTTTTTTCATTTTACTGATTAATCTTCTAACACATCGACTTATTTACTAATCAGTGAGCTTATCTAGAATACAGTCTTTAAAGAGTGTATTAAAGAATAGGATTGTACCTATTTCCGTTGGTCTTCTTTATTTTAAATGCCATCCACATCAGTTAGTGCTCTGTTCAGTCTCATGGAAGGAAGCAAGCAACTTGCATCTCCATCTTAAACCCTTTGCAGCAGGGTTATGCTGGCCTAGAGTGTTCTCCTTACTTTTTTTGTGCCTACTGATTTGGGTCCTTCAAGGCTCTGTTGATGCTCTGGCTTGTCCAGAAAAGATGCACTATTCTACATACAGTAAATGTTATCTTGTACTATTATTTTTCGCAGGTTTGTGTGTGTGTGTGTGTGTGTGTGCACACACACACACACACACACACACACACTTCTCAGTGCCCTCAAATAAATGTCATGCTAAATGAGTGGGAACCATGTCTTATATACAAGTATGTTTGTATCAACAGTGCATGGTGCAGTGAGAATACTGTTCTGACAACCTGTACCACAGTTTAATAAATATTCATTTTCTAATGTATCTGTTGATGAAAACAATGATCAATATTTTTCTGTGAGAATAATGCTCATTATCTGAGAAAAAGAAGGGCTCAAATGGAACAAAATCTCAAAATGTCACCGCATCAGCCATTATTTGAAGGTAGTTATTAGAAAAGGGGAAAATAAAAAAGAAGACTTTAGTTAGCAAACCGGGAGACCTAGAACATTTTACTTCATAATCAGAATTCTGAGGAAAGCAGTCTCTGAAAGTGGCAGCCACACTAACAGGCATATGAAGAAGAAAAGCAGTAGACAACATGGAACATGAGGAGAAATATAAGAATCCAAGGTCTAAGGTATTCAGTTGAAAAAATTATCTCTGATAGATTCCATCACGAAATTTAAAAGTAGGAAGCCAATCTTAAATAAATACCATAATGTGCTCTTAAAAGCCCACATAGAGGAAGTGTGTGCCTGCAGAAGGAAATGACTCAGGCCATTTTTAGCTCTTTTCAACAATAACATCTAAGAAAAAATTTTAAACCTCAATAGCTAAGTAACCTTCAATGCCTTTCAGTTATGCACTTAAATAAATGAATTGATGGGAAATGACTTAGACTAACTTTAAATAAAGGGAAAGATTTGAGCTCTATTGTAAAAAACACTTTTGTTTTGTTGTATTCTTCTGTGACTGGCAGTTTCTTCACAAACCTTGAGTCCAGGCCGTGGGCCCCATTCTGGCAGTGGGTAGACTTCAAGGCATTTTTCTAACACACCCCTCCACAAACTCTTCAGACAGGTATGTTCTACTCAAGAGTAGCTGTTTTAGTTTAAAAGAAATTAAAAAGGAAGGCTCAAGGGCCAAGGTTTAAACTATCTATTGAATTAACTCTTTATACCAGTTGGTTTGCCACATAGCCTCAAAAAACAACTTAAATGTAAGAGCTATAAAGATTCTCAAGGGGCTAAAGCTAGTGAGTGAAAGTTGGATGAGTAATATAACACAACATAGTTTCAAAGTAACTTCTCCCCATAAGATACTTATTAGTCACAAGAGGGGGAGTATTAATTTGGTGGTAGAAAAACATGGCAGATACCGCCTTTCCCACATGATCAAATTCACATCACCAGTAATAGACCAAATCAGCCTCCTGATACACTAAGGACGTATCAGCACCACTCATCCCATATACCTGGCCCAAATACCTAACCTGAACCTAATTGTGAGGAAATATTGGGTTGGTGGAAAAGTCATGATGTATTTTGTCTATGTTTTTCAAAGGTCATTTATTTATATAAAGAACAAAGATCAATCAATGATATATTGCCCATTTTGTTTGATAACCTTTTACCATCTTTCAGTGAGCTTCATAATTCCTTGTTCATAGAAGGACCTGTGTTTATTTGTAAAAGACTGAACAAGGTGCTGATTTACAGCCTCATCTGAATTGAAAGTTCATGCAAGAAGTTTTAAAGAGAGCGAAACAAGTGGAAGTCTGACGGCGCAAGGTCAGGCGAGTATGTTGAGTGTGGTAACACATCCCATCCAAGCTCCAATAACTTTTGACGGGTGATCAAACTTGGGTGTGGTCTCGTGTTGTCACAATGGAACACAACTCCTTTACAATTAACAAGCTCTGGACGTTTCTGGATGATGGATTCGTTCAAACTGTCCAATTGCCAACAGTACACATTCTAATTGATTGTTTGGTTCCTTGGTAGGAGCTCGAAAAACATGACACCTTTAAAATCCCACCACACTGAGAGCATAGCCTTCCTCTGCTGAATGCCTGCTTTCTTTTTTTTTTTTT